AATATTACCAAATTTTATGCAACGTTATGGTTTATTTTTGGGTGTTCTCATTATCAATCTTCATGCTACATTTATCACTATTATTGCCCCATTTCGAATTCACAAATATTGGTGGTTATTTTTTTTCATTTCTCATTATTCCTACCTATAATTTGTCAAAAATTTCTTATTTCTAAATATTAATATTAAAAAAAGTAATATAGGCAGTTACAAATACTGTGAAAATTTATGATGGAATTTCAAGTTTTACATTTCAGTTTTGTGGAAGCAACAAGATTGTTGAAAAATTTTTTTGATCTAAAGTTACTAAAGTATGAATTACTCACATCCACTATAGCGGTGTTAGGATGCGGATTTATCCTCTTCATTTTTTGTTATAGCTGGCAAAAGCCTATTCGTGATAATATATTGTACGCTGTGAAGAATGCTATTAGTGATAATGATTATGCTCAGGTAAGTGCTATGTTTTTATCAGCTAATCAGATTAATTCTGTTAATTCTGCCTTGATATTTGCAGGATATTAATGCCATTCAGCAAAGATTTGAATGTTGCGGAATTTCGGTCAATGGCGCAGAAGCGCATCTCATTTGGTTACATTATTTATCACCTGATATTGCTTTTCGAGAAAATTTATACGAGTAAATTTAATGTATTAATGCTTACTTTGAGTGATAAATAATATATAACCAAATGAGATATAACCAAATGAGATTGAATTTAAAATATAAGCAAAAATAGAAAGTGAAGTAATCGATCAATTAGTAGTTTATTATTTATATTAGATGATAAATATATATGCATAATTAGTAAATAATTTATGCCACAAGAAAATACCACTACTGACAAATAGTCTAAACATCAAACAAATAGCAGCTATTCATTTACTAATTAATTTTATGGATTAATTTTACGGCTTGTCTTTTGTGCTTTGAATAACTATAAAATTATGATTCGATAATTTTCAGATGTTTAGAATATCAGCAATTCTAATAAAGTGAAGTAATCGATTAATTTATTTAATCATTCAGTTTTGATTTAATTTAATAAAAGACATTTCTATCTTTCATTCAGCTACCGATATAAGGACCGTTTCAAGATCAATGCAGTTATTTAATTTCAATCCATTGTTAACTTTCTTATAATTTTAGTAAAATGAATTCATTGCCATGGTCTTGTTGTCGATCAAAATACCAATCTGCGTATTGTGAACAGTTCGCATATGAACGATTTGTTGTACCTTTTAATGAGACAAACTTTCATCGAATACCAAGTTATGCTAGTCGATTTAAAAAAAATTGGGTATGTATAATTCATTTTAAAAAATGATAAAAGAATATAAAATATTGATTATAATATTGATTTAAAAAATTGATTACAATAAACGTAATCCAAGCCATTTATATGTTTTTTTCTAATTTTGATTCGTTTTTTTTTTCCAAATCTCGAGAAATTCCAATAAATGTTAATTTGCTTCAGTTAATAATATCAGTAAGGAGCAGCTTATTCTATCAATTTTTTTAAATCTAAATTTGATATAGTATTTTAGAATAATGCATTGCTTAATTTTTTTATATTGCCGACTAAGAATTAAACAAAGACTTGTAAATTTTTTCACAGTAATATTAAGTTATTAATATGAACTAATTAATTTCTTCCGGAAAATATTTTGAGTGACATATTTGCGTGATCGTATAGTATCTCACGTTACAATAACCATCAAAACTTGCATTTCATGTAACGATAAAATATCTGTAATGCACATATTTGATATTACAATATATTTATTGTCATTTTAAATTTCATTAGTAATTAAACATTAAAAAATTTCAACTTATCCTTTTTATTATTGTATAATTTCGCGGAAAAGTTAAGAAAATGATAGAAATATTCTATGTATGGAAAATTTCCAAAAAAAATTTTAAATCAATGTTTGCAACTTTTCAAAATAAAACTATCATGAAATGTAAACTTTTAGGGATGTACTTCGTTAAATGATTGCAAACAAAGGCGAGAAATAGCGTTAAATTCGGTTTATAAGCGTGATTGTGCTCAGGCCTTTTATCAGGCTTTTAAACGAGGATTTTTTTACCTGAATGGTAGCATATTAATTATTTTAGGTAAATCTACAAATTTCCCATATTTTGTACACAATCTAAATAAATCTATATTTTTCAGATTCTTTTTAATTCAGAATCTCGGGCAAAAATTAAATTTGGTTAAGGCGTTTTTTCATCGCATTATAACAAATAATAAATGAAACCTTTTATTGTTCAAAACTTTTGGGAATATCTGATTTTCCGGATATAAATCATATCTTTTACAGGATTATGTATGATTTTTGGAATGATCATGATCGATTATCTCCAAACAATTCTTCAAAACAAAAATTTTAAGATTGTTACTCCCATTTTTATGAATAAATTCTAATGTAGTTATAAAGTAAACTTTAGTTTTGTAATGCATTGATTGAAATTGAGAATGCAAATAACAAATTTGGAAGTTGTTTACTTGGTAGAACAAAATAACAAAACTCATATGTTATAAAAATACAAACAAATATGTACAAAATTGTAAATATTTATCACATTTCAATCATAAATGTTAAACAAACAAAAAAAAGGAAGGAGCAACAAACATTTTATTATTTTCAAAAAGTAAATCAAAAAATAAAAAAAAAGGATGAAACAATGGAGTTTCTCTGCAAAAGAGCATCTTTCAATTTCCTTAAAAATATCAAAAAAAAAAGAAAGGAAAGAAAAAGCAATGAATATTTTTAGTAAAGGACAGCGTAACAAAATATGAAATTAGAAAAAAAAATATAAAATTGAGAAAAAAAAATCGAAATATGGAATTAAAAAAAAATTAAGGCAACTGTAAATTGTTTTCATAATTCGAATATGTAACTGTATTAACATAATTTACATATGTTGTATCAGTTATAAAATACTTTTGTTGCAATGTATAGTAATTTTCGTGCAGTTTTAGTAATTTAAAAATATCATTTCATCGCATTCATCCATTGGTTTTTTTTTTCAAGGAACTCTCAAAGCAATAAATGCTTGCAAATATACTTGTAAGCCAATTTGTAAAGAAAACAGTAATAAAACAATACATGCTTTTACCTAAAATAATCGTTTATTTATGCGAAATTTTGTGAAGTTAATTAAAAATGATCTGTTAGCAGTGGAATTAGTGCTATGAAGCATTTTTGTAGCTTCAAAAGTAAACATTAAAAAATTTAAAAATTAAATACGAAAAGATGAAAATGCATAAGAATTCAAATAGAATAAAGTAAAGAGGGTATAGGTTAATAGCTATTTCACCTAAAATAATCATCTGTTAACCATAAAGAAGTAAGATATGATAAGAATGGTTTCAAATGATTAAAATGATTAAAAAAAATTTTTTGTGTCACAAAGTAAGAACGAATCTCCTTGTCTCTTTTCCTCTATTATCTTTCATACATATTTTAGAAATATTTTCCGTTTGACAGAAAAAAAAACCGTTAATCAATTTTCAATTTTCTTTCTATTTCATACATAATAAACGGAAGTAATAATCCGTAAGTGTGAGAGGAACACGTTATAATTCCTTTCAGGTTTTTGTTAGCGTCAAACTGAGTTGAGTACTTTGACAGCAGGAAAATTTTACCGAAACAATCAGAAAGCAATGCCTTATAGTGTTAATGCAATAACGTCGAGCGTTTTTCTTTTTTTTTTTCGAATGAAAAGAACTGAAGCATAAATTTGATTTTAAATTAAAACAAATTAACTCAAGAATGCCATGGCACTTTCAGCAACATCTGAGTTACTTGTAAAAAAAAGAAAATATTTGACATGCTGGAATAAAATCAATACTGAAATAAAATTTATGAAAATAAAAGTTAGAAGAATGCCTAACTTTATAGTTTACACCAGAAAAATCATTTGAGCAGCAAAAAAAAAGGAAGAAAAAACTAGTAATTGATGAAAATTAAAACAATTCAGAAAAAAAAAAAGAAAAATTCGTGAAAAAAATACTGTACAAGAAAGGAGGAAAAAAGCTTACTTTAACAAATCGCTTTTTTTTCTTTTACTTCCATTTCTAATATCACAAAATGTAACAAGACTAATTAAGCAATTTAAATTATCTATTATTTGAAAATTTTCAAATTAAAGAAAGAAAAAACAGACAATATTTTAAAACCTAAGTGCATTTGATGAAAATTTGAATAGCTTATTGGTGCTATCGTTATTTCGCTTCAAAAAATTACTGCTCGAGGTAGCATTTGACGAAAGAAGTGGTGAAGTTGAATGTTGCGGTCCAACTGGAATTTTACCAGATGTATTTTTAATATTAATTTGATGATTTTGATCAATTGGTACGGTTGAAGTGGGAATATTTATTTTTGCTGCATTCTTGTTACCTAACGATGATGAATTCCAGTAGAAACGGTTATTCTGAAAGTACCATTAATTTACCTTATTTTTGTATTTTTGAATAACATCTCAACTAAAAGTCATAAAAATCAATAAAAAAGTCAAAGTTATAAAAATCAATAAGATCAAAAAGTTAATTTTTCGCTGATAAAGTTTAAATTCAATTGTCATTCTTGTTTTCTTAAAAAACTTAAATTACTCTTATATGAATATCAACTTTATTAACGAACTAAGTAATTTTATCATCTATTACAAGCTATTAAATGTGAATTAAAATGACAGTGAAAAATTTGTAGAATAATATGAGAATTTGATTTCTTTAGAACTTCAAATTTAAAAATGCAAAAAAATCTTTTTGATCTTAAAAAAGAAGCTAACATGTAAAGAATCTTCGGTAATTGCTGATAACGAATTATGTTGGATATATTTATTTTCAGTGCCTGTTTCTATATGCCCGTTTACCTGTGAAAGAATAATTATTACTGATTTAATTTTAAAAATTGCTCATTTGAAAACTTGACGCGAAATGAATTTAAAAAGAAAAAATCATTGTATCATTCATTGTTCATACCCTTTCACCAAATATTTTTTAAATAATAATTAATTTTTTTTGATACTGAAAGGAGAATTAATGCATTAGGAAATAAGTGGAAAATTGTTGATTCTTTAATTTTCTGAACCATCTCATCTTTAAATCACCGGAATAATTTCATCTCATCAAAGCATATTCAAACAATAAGTAATTGTTGAGACACGTCATCATATCATTCAAATTTTATTAATTTCCCCTCATTCACGTACCTGCATTTCAACAAATGCACCACCAACACGTCTCTTCACCAAATCATCGGTTTTCTTGTCATTTGAACCGCAATTTTGTTGTTTACAGAGTGAGGCTGGTACTGGTAAATAAGTTTTTTCATCGAATAAACGAATCTGAAAAAAAAATTTCTGATTTAAATTTAATTAAAATAGAATTGCGTTTGGAAGGGTTTGCAGTAGTTTTATGCTACTGTAATCTTTTCATACCCAATTTTATTTTAGTAAATAAATATTTGAAAATCGGAAACTATAAAAATTACAAAAAAAAATAAACTATAAAAATTAGCAATAATATTTATAAATTAAATTCCATCGAAATTTTTCGTAATATTCAGATGAGAAATTCAACAATCATAAATAATTTCATTTGTTTGAATAACTTTTGCAATAGCTCTTTGGAAAGCTTACTTCACATGGTGGTCCAATTAGTGATAAAAGTACTGGCAGAAGTACAAGTCCATTAATGAGACCAATTAAAATAAGTGCTGAGAGCACAATGAAGAAATATTTTACAATAAATTCAAATTCCGAAAATGCTAACATGACTATGCCTAGAAATTGTAAAATTCATTTCATTTTCGTTCTCTAAATTTCAAAAATCATTATTCAAATGTTCAATTAAAATATCATCATTTATATGCTTACATTATTAAAATCGTAAAAATGTCACTAGCAGCTTCTTTTGTTAAACTAATTATCGTATAGATTACAATAGAAAATTTGCAAAAAAAGAAAAAAATCATGTATAACTTTTATAAAAAATAAATTTTTCAATTCGCTTATAAAATAAGAAAGAAAACAAGCCTAAAAGAGTGGATAATCCGCCATGTATTACAGGAATGAACATATGATTCAAGCAAGCTGCCATTCGTTCATCTTTACTGCCCAATGA